CTGGTATTCGAATTTCACAGCGTTTAGCAGGTAATTCCTTTCGTTAAGCATTTCAGATAATACGAACGACCGTTTATCCCGAATCTGGGGATAATGTATTTTCAAATTTTCACGTAGACTGTTTTCATGGGGTTACTTCTAGTGAACATTTAAGAATCTCCACTCAACAAGCAAATTGCGATGCTAGTCATAACTGAGCGGCAATGCGCTTTTAAGATTTAATCACCACCCAAATGTACGAAGTTTCAAGAAATTTAATAGACACCTTTCGCTGACCCATTTAACATTGCCTGCTAAATTTGTCTTGTCAAACAACTAGATTTAAGTTCTTAGTTATGGGTTTTAGGCGACGAGCAATAGCCGCCGTTCCTACAACAGGAATTATTTTTAACTATCTTTCTAGTTTTAGGTTGTCTGTTTTCCATCATGCTTTCCTCCTCGACTTAACTATTTTAAACCGCAGGGTGTTCCTGAATATTACAGTAAACAGAGTTGCCCGGAAAACTTTCATAGGTCAGCCCATAGCGTGTGGTAATAATATTAATTATATGTATTCCAAAATGATACCGGATGCTTCAACATGTCGACGTTAACGTTCTTTCATCCTCATGCACACAGCAGACTAAAAAATCGTGTTTGCATGTTTTTCCTTTTGTGTTTTTACTCAGTTAGAATAATTATATTTTTGCATCCATAAATTCTTTATTATCAATCTCGGATTTGCACTACAACTTACACTCTGTACCTACAAGTTCAAAACCAATCCCAGTTTCCGACTGCGTTTTATTTATTCTGCGTGACAAGATCCGTCATCCAGAAATATTATAATTACACCTTATAATTTCCGGAAGTTAAGGGGAAAAGTGTTTGATAAAATGTTTGTGTTAGCCGAAAGTTGGGGACCTCCGTTGGTTATGTTCCCGTTTAGCCGCTTAAGTGGACAATGTGCGTCCTATAAATGGGCCCTTGTCACCTACTTCTCTGATATTTTCAAATTATTTAAAAGGCCACCGATGTTGTTCATTTCTCAGATTATTTCATATAGTCTTTCTTTCCTTGCTTATAGTTTATTGAGCACCAGGAAAGTTCGTCCGAGGAATGACTCTACGTCAGACCCTGCGAGAATTTGTCATTCCTCTAGAAACTCAGGAGGAAAACCAAAAAGACAAAAAAGGCAAAACTTCCACTAAAAGTAATCCTTGTCTGGTGCATTGATTTTAATTTTATTTTCAATTTTTAAGAACCACAGCAAAAATACGGACAGCTAAGACGCATTCGGAGTCAGAGGTATAAAAAAAGCGCAAAGAAAACTCAGACATGGAAGACCTTTTCCGAAAACAACGGTACGCCGAATCCTGTATTTCTTTAATTTCCCTTCTCTTCCATCGGGGTATCGAGTAATTGCGCAGTGGCTTGCGCTACCGTTTGCTGCTCTGACCGTGTAGTCGTGGTCTAGTAAAATGTTCGGCTGTACGTCTTGTAATTCGGCAAAAACGTTGCCCCACAGGGGACTTAGCCCAGTTTCAATTAGGTTGTTCCCTTCAGGCTTATAAGTAACCCTCCCCATGCTTTTGGCAAATATGACCGAAGCTTCAGGAAGAGATTAACCTTCTTGCTACCATTTTTTTCTCAAAAACCGTAAATATTGCCCAAAAATGAAAGTGCGATTGGAAACGCCTCTTCTAGTCCGTCGTTATTCAATCACATACAGTTCAACTCCAGATCGGAAAGAACGGCGGTGTTAACTTAAGTCCGGTAAGTAACTGACCTAAAGGCTCTTCCGATCTCACCAATAGTTCGTACGCCACACTTGACGAAAACTATTGCTGTTCGGAGGATGTTTTGATGGGTTGAATGTGGATCATGGTGAAGCCAACCTGCTTGACAATTTCTCATACTTGTCATGCTATAATGACAATACTTGGTCAAGACCACCGAAGATGGGAGTGGACATAGTGCATGACGATGATGAGTCCACGTCTGCGCGTAATGGATCATTCTTCACAAATAGGACTCGGGTATGTCTTTGAAAGAATCATGGCAGTCTGACCCTCAATCCTTTGTGAGAAGGTGGGAGGCGAATTGTCTCTCCAGTGGACAACATTCCGAATCGAGACGCTTAGCACAGTTTCCCTCTGTAGCCTAGATACAATGGCTATATGTAAAACCGATGGAGGAGCCAAATGCATGCTGGTGGTATACCTGGTGTGCGGTTGCATTTCGAGGTAGGACAGTCTTCAACTGGAATATTCTTTT